CCCCCTTTTGCTCGCTTTTTGCGCTTCGCAAGAAATGCTACTTGGAGTATTCTCGATGCAGCGAGATTATTCTTCGTGAGGGTGCTCAGTTTCCGATCATTCAATCAATCAAACAATCAATCACTTTATTTAAGAGTAAATTATGGTATCTAGCCAAAGGTAAAACCCTCTACTAACTGGGAACACTTAAATAAAGCAAATAAAATAACGGAAGACACGATGATTTGGGGTCGCGACAGGACTTGATGACATCGTGGAAATTTGCGACTGCCGGGAATTTCTACATTTATATTCATTTTTTTTTCTTTCGGAAACATCACTGTTGTCTTTGTGACTATCAAACAGTTAAAAATTAAAATTTCTTTGAACGAATCAGTAAAGGACCGGACAAGATGTCCAGCAATCCAAGGATTTGTCCGGTCAGAACCCAATTTTGACCGGACATTGTCCGTTGACCGGCCGTTATTTGCAGCCCAGGGTATAAGATGTGTGAGTTTCTAGTGTTCAGCCAGGCGTATTAAGAGGGGTTTAGAACAATAGATGTGGGCGACAAAGAAATACTAATGCTTGCTACCCTCTGGCAAACCAAGCAAAAGCACGAGAAACTTATGCGCTTGTGGCAAAATCTACATCTTAAGCTTGAGCCCAAGCATAAGAATATCAATATCTAACATTTGTTTTATGCTAATGCATATGCTAAGTTGTGCATACACTTCATATCAGCACAAGTTTAAGCACAGGCAATTTTGTGCTTGGTAAAATTTAAATAAAAATGTTACTTTTCAGAGAGGCAAGACAATTTTTATACAAAGATAAAATTCATGTAACCACAACGTACATAGGCATACACATTTCAGTAAGAGCATCAGGTGTAATTAACTGCTAAATGACACTGATCATAGCAAACTATTTATGACTTTGCGCTTTTGAAGGGACTTACATACATACATACATACATACATACTTTATTGAGACTCCCTTCAACAGGGCTTTTCGGTCACAATGTTAGCTAACTTATTTACTGTAATTTAATTAAAATCAAATGTATTTAAAATCATTCAAAGTATATCCAAGTTTACTACATATAGAACATATTGTTGAAAAGTTTCCGCTTAAAAATATCAATATCTTTAGTATTCCTAATGTTGTCGGGTAGACCATTCCATTCCCGTGGGCCGCGAAAGTAAAATGCCCTTTGTCCCATCGACAATCTACATCGGGGGATCACAACATCCTTGTGTAAAATTTTGAGGCACAACGAGACTGAAGACATAACCTTTGTTAGTTTCACAAGGAGAAGGGGTTAAAAACAGAGACGCATTCTAAGCCATTTTCAATTTAGCTGAACCTTTCAACTGAACATTTTGTAGGGAATCCCTGAGGCCCACTGCTTGTGTAAAATTGCAGTTTGGGTTAGACCTACTACAAATAACCGGCCCAAAAGTTTCAATTGTGTGTGTCGCCTGTTTAACAATTTCTCTTTAAATGACCCTGATAGACTGCTAGATTCTGCCTTCATATTAACAAGTATTTCCTAGTGTAACATAGGGAGAAGTTGATGTTACATCGACAAAACGCACTAAACACTTTGTTCCATTCACCCCCTTTCAATTAAAACTTTGCTCTAACTGTGTCAAACACGTATCAGGGAGTAAAATCGAAAAGTAAAGAAACAGTGGAAATATTGAAGGCAAAAAAGCGTACCAAGTTTAAGCTCTACCTTTTGGCCTCTCGTACGCTGTCTTCACGTTAGCTCATTTGTGCCTTGTGCCTTGTGCCTCGGTATTTTGCTGCCTCTGTAACCATTTTTTTCCATTCCAAATATGAGAACAAACACTCCTTTAAGCCACGAACTATTGCAGAGCTTTTTATACTCAGCGTCTGGTGTCGAGTTTTCTTAAACGACCTTCTTATTACGCCATGTTGCATTCCCTCGTTCGTTTTAGGTCTTCAACAACTTCCACGCGGAAACGCGGGAAATCGTGCAAAAGCGCGCGACAGCACGCGATATCTAAAGGTAAATGTTTCGTAAGCGCAACAAAAGCCAAAAGTACCACTTCTTAATCATTATCTTCTGGCACTGAATTGAATTAATTTTTTTAAAAATATAAAAATATATCTCAAAATCTTTACAGAAACCTCAGATTTTATATGAACTACTGAACAATTTTTTACCGACATCAAAGAACGGTATTGCCCTGCACAAAAATGGAGCTAAATGAAGCTGGGAAACGGATTGCTGCACACAAGGACGCCCTCGAATGCAGTTAGCATGTTACACACTTCACACATAGGAAGTGTTGCACGCTTATATGCAGGGAAAGCATTTTAGTAAATGGAGGAGAATAATACTAAGTTAGCAGGGAAAATACGTTTTTAAACAGGAAAACGTAGTGTTCATTTAATAAACGGATGTTTCACCATTTCATTTCATCAGGGCACGGTAAACAAAAGAAATTGAGCGGTAACACGCAAGGTGTAAGGAGAGGCAAAAATTCGCAAAAGTTTGGTCAGAAGCATTTATGGCACAATTACGATGTTGATGGTCAGAGACTGATTGCTTGAAACAAAGAAATTATAACCTCTTTAAATTTCTAAACCCTCAGGTTTGGGAAACATTTGGTTAACACTAGGCACTACCAATCAGATTAGCTGCATGAGTTGCAAGATCAATAATCCCATTTTTAAGGTCAGTTTTCCCTAATTGTTTCACATGGGGAATTTTCTCAAAATTGAAGAAATCTTACTTCCTCCAACAGTGTGAAGTCACGCACTTCCCAAGAATAACAAATAAAAATCAGAAATTAATTAGCCACCGTAACGATTACAAAAGAAATTAATTAGACTCTTAAAAGGGCAAAAGAGAAAAATTGACCTCTTTTATACTTAAGGGTATGATTCTTATCCTTTTTGTGGATGGAAAATGAGAAAATATCCTTGAAAAATTATGGTGGCATTCAAGGGGAAAAGTGTCATTGAAAGTAAANATGTTGATGGTCAGAGACTGGTTGCTTGAAACAAAGAAATTATAACCTCTTTAAATTTCTGAACCCTCAGGTTTGGGAAACATTTGGCTAACACTAGGCACTACCAATCAGATTAGCTGCATGAGTTGCAAGATCAATAATCCCATTTTTAAGGTCACTTTTCCCTAATTGTTTCACATGGGGAATTTTCACAAAATTGGAAGAAATCTTACTTCCTCCAACAGTGTGAAGTCACGCACTTCCCAAGAATAACAAATAAAAATCAGAAATTAATTAGCCACCGTAACGATTACAAAAGAAATTAATTAGACTCTTAAAAGGGCAAAAGAGAAAAATTGACCTCTTTTATACTTAAGGGTATGATTCTTATCCTTTTTGTGGATGGAAAATGAGAAAATATCCTTGAAAAATTATGGTGGCATTCAAGGGGAAAAGTGTCATTGAAAGTAAACAAGTAAATTGGTGGGCAAGCAAGTATGTGAGCAAGTAAGTGAGTGAGTAATTTTAGTTTCCTTTAAGTACTTCAATCATTCTAGTGAATGGCACTATGCATTGATGAAATACCACACAAAAAAAAATAGAACTAAAAATCATCCTAAACAATTACTGACAAGTGTTTTGTTTTTCCGTCTTCTCTTTTCTTGCAGGGAACATGTTTAATGGAGGGGACATCTTTATGTAACCAGCATTTTTTAAAAAAATTACAGTGCTTTTTTCATTCAAAGTGTCAAATTTCCGATGAACTTTGCATACCTGTTGCAGTGCAATTATTATAAATATAACATTCATCAAGGAATATGCAATTATTGTGGAAAATGCACTCTCTGATAAAGTGGGAGATCCCCTTAAAATTCAAGAATAATTAAAATTGTATATAATTTCCAAAACAATAATTTAGAAATCTGGATCAGAATATTCATCTTCATCATCCCATCCTGACTCTATTTTTCCTCCAGTAAAGTCCACCTCTTTATCATATACAAAGCCATTGTCTCCAGGTCTAAGCCTGTTGTTTTCAAAATCTTTATCCATGTCAGCTTTTCTCTTATCAAGCTCAAAGTCATCCAGTTTATTCAGATCCTCATTGTGGTCATTGTTTTGAGTTGATGGTTTTAAAAATGGCAAAGTATCAATCCCATCCATGTTGTTCTGGATTCTTGTAAGCAGATTCTCCAACTGAAAAATTAAAAATAAATATTTCAATAATCCCATTATTATCACATAACCTGACATAAGATGAAATTAGGAGACAAGATTTGACTCCACACCAAAATAAAAGTACAAGACACTGAGGTCATAATTTGAGAATACAAAAGGTGACATGACACAACATGACAGAGTATGGTCTAACAAAACACAACACAACCCATAACACATGATTATGATGATAACATAACATTGCATACATGTACATAATGCTCTCCATTTTATGCATATTAAATGCTCACAAATTTTTTCCATTGACTAGTATGGTGAAGTGGGTCATGTACATGTATGTCAAGTTTGTAACTCAATTTGAAATGAAGAAACATGGCAATGAGCAACCAATGATAACATGGCAATGACAAACCAATGATACCATGGCAATAACACACCAATAACAAACCAATGATAACATGGCAATGACAAACCAATGATAACATAGCAACAACACACCAATGACAAACCAACAATAACATGGCAATGAAAGACCAATGACAATATGGCCGCAATGACAAACCAATGATAATGATCAATTACAATAAATGAACACAATGAAACCAAATTATAAAAATCTATCAAATTTAATTCCCAATCCTTTAAACCCTAACAGCAGTATTCTCCACATTCTCTTTACTCTTGTCTACATATTTCCTTTGGTACTGACATGAAGAAATTGTTTAAAAAAACAAAGCAATAAGGGATCATTTCCTTAATTCTGGCTGATGATTTGAGTGAATGTCTGCAACAAGAAATTAGATAATGGTCACTGTGAGGGTTTCATCATCATCATCAATCCTTTTCATGCCTCATGGCACATAGGGCCTTCACAGAGCTTTTCCAACTCCTCTTGATTAGTTGCTGTGGTCCGCACCTCCACTCTGAGGTTTTAAAGGATTTTAAATACGCTGATGATTCAACCCTCATCATTCCTGTTTGGAGTAATGGCCAGTCGTACAGATTCAGTTGATCGGTTTTTAACTTGGTCTAAGGACAATAGCATGATGCGTAACCCGTAGAAATGTAAGGAGCTTATTTTTCGTAAGAAAGGTTTTAGTCATAACTTAGTGCCAGTTAACAACATTCCGCAATGCACGGAGCTGTCTATTTTAGGTGTCACATTTCAGGGAAATTGTAAGTACAGTGATATGAGTTAAGCTGATGAAGATGAATAAGTGTCTATTTATATTAAGATCTTTATGGAAGGAAGGTTTCAGCCAAAGCAAAGTTGACCGCCTATTTAGCATCCTAGTCCTACTGAATTTCACTTATGGTGTGTCCGTTTATGGTGCGGTAGATTCAGACCTCACGGTCATACAAAATTTCCTAGATAG